CCACAGCTGGGCATAGAACCCAGGCGTCCTGACACCCCCCCATCTAACCACTACCCCCCACAGCTGGGCATAGAACCCAGGCATCCTAACCCCCCCTCCCCTCCCAGAGCTGGGCATAGAATCCAGGTGTCCTGACTCCCAGCCCCCCTCCTCCTCCTCCCAGAGCTGGGGATAGACCCCAGGAGTCTTGACTCTCAGTCCCCCCCACACACACACACGGGCATAGAACCCAGGAGTCCTGACCACCTCCTCCACCCAAAGCATGGTCCTGGGGGAAGGTCATTGGGTCTCCGACAACCTGGTTCTTAAACCCCAGCTCTGCCTGGTCACGTCGCTTCCTCGTCCAGTGTTCCCGGGGGCAGGTAATTAAGTTCTTTAGCACCACGACTGTTAGTGACCCCCTCCCCCAGCACAATGCTCCCCCCCATCTCAGCCTGGGTTGGGGCAGTGCCCAGCTCAAGTGGCAGCAGGTGCCGCAGGCTAATGCCACATTGGTGAGAAATGTGTTTCCTTTGATCAGTTTTGAATTTGCCCCCCAGTTTCCTTCACCAGCCCCACCTCATATGGAGGCCAGGCCTCCCCCACCCAATGATCCCTGCAGCGGGGCCAGGCCTAGTCTGCACGGCCTTGTCCCGGTGCCAGGCGGCCATGTGCGTAACCAGCCCCCTTGGCTAAGCGCAGCCTGGCCCCCGCTGCTCCCAGCAGAGGCTGTTCCATATTCGTCCCCCTCTGCCAGAGAAAACCCTTCTTCTCAATTCCCATCCTCCAGCGTGAAAAGACTCAACCGCCCCCACCGCTGGCACCAAGAAGAAACCAAAAAAGTCGTGTTTTTAATGTTAAAACTTTTACAAAAAATACAATACAATAAACAATTCAATAAATAGAAAAAAATTACAAAATTACATGATTTTTTTTGTTGTTTTTTGTAATATAGGCAGGGAAACAAACAAACCAACAAACAAACCAACAATGACCGGTAAGGAACAAACCAGATCCGGAGGGCTCCTCACCCGAGCTGTGCAATATAGAAGAATATCGTCTGCCCCTCCTCGGCTCTCAAGGGACATGGAGCATCAAAATCAAACAGCCCCCCCTCCCCCCAGGTCATCTCAGACCCTCTCTTCATATATATTAATCTCTTTTAGATTATCTCATCTTCACAAGAATCGAGTTTGTAACGTGCCCGGGCGTCTTTCCTGAGTAGAATTTAGCCAGAGGAAAATGGAGTTTTGGAGAGGGGGGAGGGCACCCTCTGGCGGAGACTGAGAAATTACGCCGCCCCCCCTCCCACCAGGGTAGAAAAAAAACAAAAACCCCTCCAGTCTCCTAGTCTTGTTCTGGCCTGAAGCAGGGGGAGGGTTGAGGTATGAAACGAGCACTGTTACGAACCAGGAAAGCTTTCTGCCCCCCTGAGCCTTGCGCTGGGAGAGACCAGATTAGGAATCCTTCACTTGGGGGTGTCTGCAGAACAGATCACACCCCCAGCCCCACAGGGCTGCAATACAGGCTGGATCAGGGACCCCCCCCTTTCTTTGCTGGGATCGATTTAGCCCCCCCCCTCCCCTGCAACTGGGTCCTGGATTCATCTACATCTTCCCTCCCCCCGCAGGGTTAGAGCAGAAATACTGGGGGTGGGAAGACAGGACCAGATAAGTGGGGGGTTGGTCCCTAAATAGTCACCTGGAAAGAACCCCCCCCCCCACACCAGCTGGAAAAGAACCGCAGGAAATCCACCAGGCCAGCGGCTTGGGGCTGGGAGCACCAGACAGGCAGGCAGGCGCTTGTCCCCCTCACCAGGCTGCCCCGTGCTGGGAGAGAGGCAGCCCCAGAGGTCAGAGGTGGCAGGTGCCGGGCACAGGGATCAGGGCCGGAGCCGCCCGTTCCTGGAGATGGTTTTGGGAGGTAGCGTGGGAACGGTCAGGCTAGAAATAAGGGCAAACGAGCCCTGCAGCTTGGCCTCTCCCAGATCTGAACGAGGGCTGGTCCCACTCCCTTCTCGCTGCAGAGCCAGATCAGAGCCACTCAGATACCAGGGGGATGGGCACTGCAGAAAGACCCAGGTCCCCTCTGGCTTCCCACCACCTGCTGGGCTGGATCCATCCAGTCTTTGCCAGCGGCTGCCATTGGCAGACAGCGACTGGGGCTGCCTCGGAAGGGGTCCTTTAGCCCTTCGAAAGGCTGGGGCTGGGTAGGGCTAAAGGAGCCGAGGGCCTGGCCGGGCCCCTCCCCGGGTTAAGTCTTCGGCTCCTTGCCAGCAGGGAAAACAACTCAGGTATTGGCACAGGGGGATGGAGGAGCCGGAGCATGCGGCACATGCCCTGCTTCCCCCCACTTCGCTGCTGGGAGGGGGGGGGGAGAGGTAGGACATGTGGGGGCTTCTACTGTCACAGGTTCAAATTCCCAAGAAGGAATTTATGGGCAAAAATGGTACTGACTCCAGGAGAGCTGGGGTAGAGACAGGGCTTATTTCCAAGAATTACGGACCCCCCCACCTCGCTGAAGAGCAGCAGGAAGCCAGCAGTGCCCCCAAGGTGCTGGCTAAAATCACACCGTCTCACAGCTGCCGCCAAGCCCAAGCCCGGGCCCCTCCTGCCCTAGGATCGGGCCCCCAGCCACTCCCCATCAAACCCAGGCTGGCCCCACCACCAGCTGCTTCTGCCCAGCTCCGACCCCTGGGCTCGGCTCCTTCAAGGCAGACAGCCGGTAGCCGCAGCCATCCTGCGGTAATACTGAAATCTGCGACTCCTACAACCCCACCATGAGTCCGCCCCCCCAAATATAAATTAAACACTGGAGAGAAACGGGGTCCTTCAAAAGGGTACAGAGTCCTCCCCCATTGACCAAGTCCTAGCCCAGGGACCCCCAGTCAGATGAGGCTCCCCCCTAACTGAATAGTGGGAGGCCCCCCCATGTCAAACCAACCCCACCCTCAGGGGGCAGTGATGTGGGGGTTCCCCAGCTGAATCCATAGACCCCCCCCAACTGACCCAAAGGGGGAGGGGGAGGGGGAGGAAGAGGATCAGCCCGGGGCCCCGCCCCCTAGCCAAATCGCTCCCGCACCAGGAGCATGAGTTTCTTCTTGCCCTTGTAGGTCTGTTTGAGGTTGTCGAGGAACTGGCCGAACTGCAGGTGCCCGTCGGGGGCCAGCAGGAAGGTCTCGCGGGCCTTGCACAGGAACTCGATGAACTCGCTGTAGTGCCGGGGGCTGATGTGGGTGAGGCGCGAGTGGGTGGTGCTGACGTAGGCAGCGATGGCCGCCTCCAACAGCTGGCACAGGGGGGCTTTGTCCAGGCCGGGGGCGGCGGGGGGCTTGGCGGCGTGGCGGCGGCCTGAGAGGGCGGCCAGGCCCGGCGGGGGCAGGCTCCAGCGGCGCAGGATGTCGGAGAGCATGGGGGCGCACTGCACGCTCTGGATGATGAGGGGCACGATGGCCGAGAGCTGGCTCTTGCCCAGCGAGTGGCTGAGCGAGCAGGCCCAGAGCACGTCGTTCACGGCCGGGTGCGTGTCCTGGTTGAAGGCGATGCTGAGGTGGGAGAAGGCCAGGGTGGCCAGTTTGTAGGCGCGGAGGGGCAGCCCCCGGTGCTCCATGTATCGGGCCACGGTGAAGAGGTGGGAGTGGCCCATGCCGGCCGCGGCGGCCGAGTCCAGCACGATCTGGTAGGCGGCCTCGAAGGCGGCGTGGTCCTTCTCGCACAGGGTCAGGGCCGGCAGCGAGCAGTTCTGCGGGTCCTTCATGGCGCACTGCAGGGCCACGGCCCGGGCCCGGGCACACAGCTCGTCCCGCTGGCCGAAGGCCAGGTTGAGGCGCAGCAGGGTGGCCGGGGTGGTGCCCGTCACGGCCACGATGGTGGTGGCTTCGATGGGGGTGAAGAGGCTGTACCAGTTCTGCATGATGTTCATCAGCGCCTGCACTCCTGGGGGGAGGGGCGGGGTCAGTGCAGCTCATGGGTCTCCACCCGCCCGCCCAGCCTGCGAACCCCACAGCGGGCAGGGATCTCCCCATCCAAAGAGACAGCACCTTGCCCAACTCCAGCTGGGACGAGAACCCAGGAGTCCGGGAGCCCTACCCATCCCCTGTTCTCACCACTAGACCCCACACCCCTCCCAGGGCTGGGACGAGAACCCAGGAGTCCAGGAGCCCTACCCGTCCCCTGTTCTCACCACTAGACCCCACTCCCCTCCCAGGGCTGGGACGAGAACCCAGGCGTCCTGGCTCCCAGCCATGCTGGGTTGGTAGACTCATGCTATGAGCCGGGAGCACCAGGTGCCGTGTTAGAGGGGTGGGGTGTGGGGGTTAGCTGGGCCAAGGGCCATTCATGGGGTATCACTACGGGGGGAGGGCGCCAATGCCCCCCCCCAGCTCCCCCACCCCCCGATCTCCGTGGCACAGCTCACCAGCCAGCGCACCATCTCCCTCCGGCGCCAGGTCATGGTATTCAGAGTCATCCGCATCACCTGGGGGGGGGGGGGGGACACAGCTTGTGACAGTGGCCGGGCCACGGCCCCCACAAGACAGAGCCCCCACGGTGGGGAGCCCATCTACAGCTGCCGTGCGCTCGGATTAGAGCTCTTACGGAGCCTTGCACCAGAGGGGCTGAGAGCACGCGGGGAGGGGTCACAGCACAGAAAGGGAAACTGAGGCACAACAGAGGAAGGGACTGGCCCAAGGTCTCTCAGTGAATCTGTGGTAGAGCTGGGAGCAGAACCCAGGAGTCCTGACTCCTAGCCCACCCCCGCTCTAACCACTAGATGCCACCCCCTTCCCACTGCGTGCTGTTAAGCAGCCGCTGCGCCCCACCCCAGAGGTGGCTGCATGTCAGTGCTGGGCAAGCGACCGCAGCAATTGGGTCTGTCAAGATCTTCACACTCCTCCAGTGGGGACGCAGCCGTCGTTCCCCCCGCCCCATACCTGCAGGCCGAGCTCCAGGGAGATGTTGAGCAGCGTGGCGTCCGGCGGGGCGCTGGCCGGCGTCGCAGTCTTACAGGCGTCCTGGGCCAGTTTGAACAGGAGGGCAGGGGAGTGGATGTTCTGCTGGATGGACCCCAGGACCGTGTGCAGCCACTTGGGGTCTCCTAGACCAGGGATGGGGGGCAGAGATTAGCCCCAGGGGTGGCTGGGACGCCCAGGGGAAGAGGATCTGCAAAGCTGCAGGGCTAGGAACTGGGGGAGCCCAACTCGAGCCCCCGCGGGCCTGGTTCCCAGAGGGGCTGACGCCCGCAGCGCCCAGCGATCACAGGGGCCCAGCTTCTGAGCCTCAGGAAGGGGCTACAAAGACTTCCCCCTCTAGGGGGCGCCAGCTCCCATCTGGCAGCAGGGTGGGGACTGGCTGGCCCAGGGGGGTGGGGAATGGGGCACGGGGCCTTTCCCCTCTAGGGGGCGCCGGCTCTGATCCGGCCCCAGGCTGAGATCTCACGTCCTTTCCCATGTGAAGGGGATTGGGGGGGCCCTGCCTGGCCCAGAGGAACAAGCGTCTATCACAGAAGCTCAGGGCTCCGCGGTCTCCTCGTCCTCCCGTGGGATCAGCATGGGGCCATGCGAGGGACTTGACCTGGGCACTCAGTCAGTGGCAGAGAAGGGATTAGATCCCAAGAGACCTAGTGCCCAACTCTACCCCTCTGCACTGTGACGATTAGACCCCACTCCCCTCCCGGAGCTGGGGCAGAACCCCAGAGTCCTAGCTCCCGGCCCCGCTGCTCTAACCACAGGGCCCCGCTCCCCTCCCGGAGCTGGGGATAGAACCCAGGAGTCCTGGCTCCCAGCCCCCCCTGCTCTAACCACAGGGCCCCGCTCCCCTCCCGGAGCTGGGGCAGAACCCAGGAGTCCTGGCTCCCAGGCCCGTGCTCCAAGCACTGGCCCAGTGTCTGGCTTCACCTTTGGCTGCGGTGAGCATGGCCGATGCCAGCTCG